AGGTTCTTCAAGGAATGAGGAAACAGCCTCATAAATCAGAAGAGAAAGACTCTTCTGGGTACCAGGTTATCACACTGTATGTCATTATTCCACTTCTCAGGAGCCTGCTCTCTTAATACAAATATAATTTTTATGTAAAATATCTAGTAAGTTATTGTTTTTATACGGCAACCTAAGTATCAGACTTTGAGTTTTATTCTTAGTTATGTCAGTTCAGTGGCTGTGAGTAATGAGTCTTTTAATAAAAGGATAGAAATAATAAAAAAAAAAGAAACAGTGTTCAAATATAGCAAATTTACAGCACTTTTCCCTAAACATTAAAACAATATTGAAGTCCTTTTGATTGACTGATTTTTGTGTGTTTACATATTAAATGAATGTTTTAAGGTTTTTTTCCTTTTCATTCACTTTTTCATTCTTGAGGAAGCAATGTTTAAATGTGAAAACATTTTGAATTGAGGGAATATGGGATTGTTGGAGCCTAATATTGCAATGAAACAAAACACATATGTTTTAAAATGTAACATCATAATCCAATCCAAGTACAGCAAGGCTATTAAAATAAGTTTCATCAGTAATTTGTACAAATTTTAGTCAGTCATACCTTTTGTTTTCCTTTGAATATAGGTTCTGACTGTCACACCGGATGATGGCTTCGCTAAAGTGCATTATGGCTTTATCTTGAAGGCACAGAACAAGATTGCAGAGAGCATTCCCTTCTTAAAGGTAACTGCCATTACCCATCTTTTTTTCCCATCTTCTGGTTGCTCTGATCTGAACACCATTGGGTAAGTAAGTATTGTGCACAAATGGGCGTGCATACTAAGTCTTTTCATCATGAACATGATGTCTATATGCAATAGGGACCTTATCCTACTCTCCAATGGAGAGTGTCTTGTACAGAAATAACTGAGGCTTGTTTTTTCTCTTGTCAAATGACAAATATAAAGAAATATCATTGAGTGAAACCGATGATGTGCCCTGAAAACTTTCACTCAATCCACAATAAAAACCTTAAAAAAAAAAAAAAAAAGAAATGATAAGGACTGAGGTTATCCAAGGACCAGTGCTAAAGTTAAAATATGCTCTGTTAGGGACAGGAACCTACCATCTTTACATGAAGGGTGTGAACATTGCAGAGTGGTTGAGGACAGAGGGACAGGACTTGGGTACCTTCTGTCCTCAATGACTCTGCTATGTTCACACACCCTTCAGTGCAATGTGAGTTTATTTAAGAAAGTGTGATGTTACGGATATAGAGTAGAAGCCAGTAGGAGGAGAAATACATAAGGGTAGGCAGAAGTTTCTTATAGGTGCTTGTGGTCTATACTTGAATGCCTCCTGAAATCATCTTTCCCCCTCACCTTTCAGGCACCCACCCCAAGCCACTTCCCATACACACTCTGACTGAGTACATCTGAATAAATACAGACAGTGAAATCTGAAAAAAAAATATATATATATCATTGATATAATACTTAAAGTTGAACAATGCATTAAATGTTCCTTTTTCTAATGATTTAGAACTTGAATCGACTTTGAACAGGGATCATGACTACCTATTTAAAAGTTAAATAACAAATGCAGATGCACAGGCCAAAACACAGAAAAATCTCATTGCTCAATATGTTCAGATTAGCATATGCTGCTACTCTTTTCCCACACATCTAACTGAATACCTGACAGCTTGGTCAAATTTGGTATAAAAACTGCCCAATAGAACTTTTTATATGATGGTAATTATTTGTGTATGTACCATCTATGAAATTTAGTAAAAAATTATCTGCACTTTAGCTGTAGAATTTATCAACTTTTAGAAAGAAAGACAAATACATAATTTTTAAAGAGAATCTCATTGACTTTTCATATACTTTGTCCATCTATCAACAACTTTCATATTCCATTATTAAAAAACATTTTTGGCTAAGTTTCAAGCCACGAATTCACTACTTTCTTCACTTCTTCATTGTTGATGTTGTTGTTGTTCAGTGCAATCGAAACAGTACCGACCCATAGTGACCTTATGCACAGCAGAACGAAACAATGCTGAATCCTGGG